ATTTAATTGGTGAAGAAGGATTTTGGATTAATGGTTTGCCATATTGGAATAAAGAAAATGAAAATTTTGAATATAATAATCTTAATATGACAGTTGCTTTAAAATAACTTTATAACACTAAAAATATTACTATAAAGGAATTAAATGAGGTATAATATTTTATTAATTTAGTAATTTATAAAAAAAAATTCATATTAATATCCTTTATATTTTAGTTATTGATGATTTATAAAGCTAATTTAAAAGATTTTATTACTGCATTAATTAATTTTAATAGATATTATAGAATTACTCAAAATCCTGAAACAAAAGATTTTGTAATAATTATGAAATATTATAATTATGATTTAAATAAATATATATAAAAAATACTTTAATATTATTAAATGGGATAAGAAATTAGAAATATTACAAAAAATTTGTTATGCGCTTCATAATATTCATAATAATCAAATTATTCATCGAGATTTTCATAGTGAAAATATTCTTTGTAATAATGAATATGATGTAGTAATAAGTGATTTAGGAATTAGTAAATTATCAACTGACTTATCAGATAATGAAAATGAGTATTATGGTATTATTCCTTATATTGCTCCAGAAGTATTTCAAAGGTCAAAAAGCAATAAGTATACTAAATCTTCAGATATATATAGCTTTGGTATGATTATGTAGGAATTAATGACAGGTAGAAGACCTTTTTGGGATCAAAATTATGATATAGATCTTATTATTAAAATTTGTGATGGTATTCGTAATCCAATTATCACAAATGCACCTGAAGAATATATTAAATGAATGCAAAAATGTTGGCATTCTGATCTGAATAAAAGACTGACTACTGAAGCTATTTATGACTTTATTGTAAAAATCATTTTGAACGAAAAAGTAAATTTCACAAAAATTATTTATTCTCCAGAAATTTGATCTGTTATAATAAATAATCCAGTCATTAGTAAAGTAATAAAGATATCAGCGGAATCTACAATAAGCAGGATTTTTGGTGAATAGACTTTATTGGTAATTCTTACATAATTATTTAATATTATTATTAATCTTATGTATTTATTAAGGCAAAAGAGAACTTAACGATTATTTAATTGAAGATAATGATAATAGTATAAATAAGTTTATTTTAAATAATCAAATAATGATTATGTACTTAATAATTTTGATGTTATTCCAGGTGAAGAAATTAAACGAATCAAATTCAATGAAACTAATCGCAATGAATCTATTAATAGTAAGTAAGAATAATAGTTCAAGTACGATTCACCATAAATTACATAAATTAATTATTTTGAATTATTCATAGATTATATTTCTAAAACCATAGATTTTGATATTTAATTGAAATCATATATTTGATATGCTAAAAGACATAAATTAATAAGTATTAACTCAAATTTTAATTATTTGCTCAAATCGCATCTAATTCCAAATTGAATATATGAGGTATTGCATATTAAGAAATTAATTTATTCAACAATAATCAAATTTTCTAAAAAAATTCACAAATCCTATCCTATAATTTTCATTCTTCCCTCTACATTATTATTAATGTAAAAATGTTTACTAGGTTATTTTCTAAATATTTCTATCTTAATATAATTATTATTTAACTTTACCGTTTCTAATTTTTCTAATAGATAGTTATTTTGTCAATCTAGAGAAAGTTTAAAATTATTTTAATAATAATAAAAAAAGATTACAAAAGTGAGATATTGCGTCATATAAATGTCAAAAAGCTTATAATAAATTGCAAAGTTTATTAGTTGAGAATGAACTTTGGAAAATCGAAATAAGTAATTAATAGACATAGATATCAAGTTCAAGCATTTTGAAATTCACAAGCTGGGGTACAATATAAGAAAATGGGAGGCAAAATCGAATGTATTACGTGACAATAAGGCAATAAATTACGTTTTGATTCATTACATCCAAAATATAAATTATTTGCAAGGTCCTAGCGAATTGTCATACTAGGTTGTGACATTTAATTTTTGAGCTTGTACTGTTTTGTTTTTTAGAGGTGTCACATCAAAAAGAAGTTTCACAAGATTTTGAATGTTTGCAAATATTTCTTTTACATAAAATGATTCATTTAGACAAATCAAAAATCAAAATATTAAACGTTAAATATAAATCCAATAAACTTAAATCATATTTCTATATGAATATATAATTGGTTTTAATACTTGATAAAACTTTAATATTAAAACAATTATTTTTTATGCTTAATTTAAAGCATTAACAAGGATTTACACCGAAAAGTAATTTTCTAAAGTAATAGTTGAAACTGATGCCAATGAGCATTAACTTTTTTTTTGCCATACTGTGCTTCTAACTATGATGGAACTTTACAATAAACTTATTTGACATTATATTAGCACGTATAAGTGGTTAGTGATTGATTTATCAAAGTAGTTTTTTATTATATGTTAAATGTGAATAGTGCTTTTTCCCAACCTCCCTAATTTTTAATACGTAATAATGACATACCATAGCAGCAGTAACTATACACTGGACCGTCATAAGCATAGCTCTTTTGATTTATTTTGAAGTCACACGCAATTTATTTAACGTTAAATAAAAAATCCAACAAAAATCAAAGTTCCTACCCATACTTAATCTTATGACTGGGAGTGTTACGGCAAAACACAAGAGCTTCATGTACAGTTCCTTATATTATTCATTATACAGATACAAAAATTACTTTATTTTAAATATACGTTTTTCAAAAATAGTTATCGCTTTATAAGCCTGCTTTGCCAACATATAAATCGCCGCTGATTTCAACAATTTCAAGAAGAATAATAGAGTGAAAGTTTTTGCGATTTACAAATATTGAGCCATTCTTAGTAGGATGGCAATCTATGGCCGACCTCACAATCAAATCATTGTATTACCTTGCTTGCAATTCTGCTAAGAATCTACCAGTAATATGACTAACTGATCCTAAAGTTTGTTTGATATTCTAATTCCTGCTCCATTTGCCAAAAATAATAATACAATTTACTTTCACACAGCGGTATGATTTTCCAATCGTTTAACAATTAGCATAAGAAAACGTAAATATTTTGAAAGGAGTTATAACCTTCTTCATCTGTTAAATATGAGAGAAATTCTCAAGTTCAAGTGGGCGAAAATGGATGAACTGAAATAATTTAACGGACGTTTGGAGAAAAATAATAAATGTGTTAAAATAACAGAAAGATTTGGGATCAAATATCTTTCAGACTTCTCGCAAGAATTACAATTACGATATTAAGGGAATTATGTTACCAGCTTTGTTTTTTTACAATGACTTAAGAAGATGGGAGGTTGTTAGTAAAAAATGAAATTTTTGTTAATTATAGTTTCTAAGCTAATTTTGAGCACAGAACTGTCAAATGGACCAATAAAAAAAAAATTTTTTTCCTTTTCTAGACTGCCACCTAAATAAATATTTTACACTTCTTCGTAGATACTGGATCTCCAGTGACCTATATCTGTGAGGATGGATAGACATATTCAATTATGATGTCACAAACAAAATTGAGCTTCATCTTGAATTCATTCACATCTTTATTCAATGCAGAATTACACGTTCATTTTATTTATTTTTCATTGATAAACGAAGAAAGAAAAGAAATATAGTGTAAAAAATTGGGTAGCGAACTTTTAAAAAAATTTATAATTCGAAATAAAAAAATATTGTACATGATTTGTTGTAATTAATTGTTTATTTTTTTTAAAATAAAAATAAAAAAAAAGAAAGTTTGAACATAAATCTTTACATACATGGTAGGTTTGCTATTAAAGTAGAGTTACGAACATAGTATATCATATGATACGTAATGTGATTTTATTAGCAAACCTCCTACATAGCCATAGCGATATTTTAATAAATCTGAAAAATTTTGACTTTATAAATTTTATATATTGTTAAGATTCTACAATTTCATATAATATTGTTGTATTCAGTTCTTTCGTTAATGTATTTATAAACAATTTGTATTGTAAGCAGAAGGTATTGATTAAATAAAATTGAATATTATTTAAGTAAAAATGAAATAATTATGACAAGTATTTATTTAATATTACCAAATTAAACAGTGTAGCCTCAACATCATCACTCTACACTTTCGCTTGATCAATTAAACTAAATAAATGCCAAATTCTAATTTATTAAACTGCGCAATTACGAAAATATTATAAAATTATATAATCGGAAATTAAAAAAAAATAATAAACGAAGTTACAACTACAAAATTAAAATATAATTAGGCCAGCCTGAATCTTGAACATTTTGTCATACTGGCACCTTGACAGCATAATCTTCAAAGGACTAACTGCAAATATCGAAAGCGATTTACATGCGGAATTATGAAGATTTCGGCCGGAATTATATTCAATCGCCTCTTCATCACGAATGTATAAATTTTTTAATGAGGAATTTTTCAGCTTCACAATAGTAATCGGGTATTACTACTAAATTATTTGGTCAGTTACTGTTAATTTTTCTTATTTCTATCAGTAAGCCTAATCTCCTATGCTATCAAATTATCAAAATGTATAATTTATTCATCCGATTAAAGAGAGTCGCAAATGGTTTTAAAATCAAAAAATATTGACTATCACGACTTGTGGAGAACGATAAATTGTCATAAATTGATGTCTTAATAAATTTAGAATTCGTAAGTAATATACGACATACGCTTGGTCGGAATGTAAACGTAAGAGAAATATCCAGCTTCTGAGTAAAAAATAAAATTAATCTTTGTTATAACTTTTCGCACGTTTCTTTTGTATAATGTTAACTTAATTTCCTTCCATTAAAGGCACTGTTTAATTTATATTATTTATTAATTCCGTAATCATTTCTAAAGAACTGTCTAGTGATTATATCCTTCCGCGAAAAACATATAAGATGATGATATATACATATCTTTCACGTTGACAGCGCGCTTGTTAGCAAATATTAACATAAAAGATTACATGAGAGAGCTTAAACATCTTCATTCGACTAATAACTGAGTTCTCTCTAAAAAAAACAAATCATAGAAATAATTATTAGTTATCATAGTTATCATGAATATAAAATATATTTTTCTCCATACTTTATAAACGAAATTTATTAATAAAATTACCTTTAGTATTAAAATAGAAGTTTGTAGGACAACAGAAACTCAAGACTTTATTTATGCGGTAACTAGTTGATTCGAAACGTTGAAGACCTTTCAAAACTATAAAACTTGTCATCTCGAACAAAGAAAACATTGGCGCGGCAGACTTTCTTTACTACGCCAATGTCCAAAATCTATCCAATCAAACAGGCTGAGCTAGCAAAAATTATAATATATGTTGAAATGATAAAATTATTGATAGACATACATGTAACAAGTAAAATAAATTTTATTGGATATTGTGAATTATTGCGACATGTCATTTAGATTTAAGATCAGTACTTGACAAAATTTAAAATCCGACAAGGACAATTTGTTTGTTTTTTAAAAAAAATAAAAATAAGTCAGGATTTTATTTTAGAAAAATGTTCCGGAATCTGTTTATAATTTATTTAGTGGAATCTTTAAGCGGAAATTCAGTTGTTCTTTTTTATTTTTTTTTTTGAAAATTGTAAATAAACGTTATTTAATTTAAATATTTGGAATTTGCGTCTTTATTAACTTTATATCTTCAAAAATTTTTTTTTTATAATAAATAGATTAAGAAATTTCGTAACTTCTTAAATTTATTTTGCAAAATGAAACATTTTTTAATCGACTATTAACACTATTCTTTCTTTAATTTTTCATAGGGATAAATATATGACAAGTATTTTTTAAAAGCGACGAGTAACAAAGAAAAAAAAACAGATCTACTTAATAATGCTAACTAAAGTTAGGATCTTAGTCTATGACGTTATACTTTGCATTAACGCAGACGTAAATGATTGTCGTCGTTCATTGGCCAATTTTTGTTTTCTCACAACTTTATTCTACCTTTACTTTTTGGTGGGTATCATTATCGTATATTTTATTTTTTTGAAAAAAAGAATAATCCATAAATAACTTACATTTTATTATTTTAAGGAATATTTTAAGCGATGACTCGAAAAACACGACAGGTTCGCGTTCAAGGTGTCACTCGTGACGTTGTCGCGCCAAGGCGACGATATATTTCTTCAATTTCCCTTTCTTCCATCCCCTTCAGTTCCTTCTTCTTCAGCTTTTTTAACAGCTGTACATTCTTCTCCTTCCCCTTCTCCAACAGCTGCTTCTCCTTCTTTAGCTTTTTTCCCTCACTCTCCCAACTTTCCTGTTTCTTCTCCTATTTCTCCTACTTCTTCGATTTTCTCCACTCCTCCTGCTCTTTCTCTTCCTTTTACCGTACTTCCTAATGCCAATTCATATCGCTCTCCACTTCTCCTCCTTCCCCCTCTTTAAGTTCATCTCCTTTTTCATCTTCTTCCACTTCCTCCATTTCTTCGTCTTCTAATTCCTCCGTTTTTAACCGTCCTTTTATTCACTATCGTCTTCTTAGGTGGCCAGAGCCGATGGGTCTTGATCCACCAGGCATTATTGTTGAAACCCCTTATATCTCCCCTAATCAGTGGCTCGAACCAATGGATCTTGATCCTCCTGGTTTTTTCGTAGCCATTGATTATGGTTTTTATCCCTTCCCCCTCCGTTTTTAACGGCTATCTTTCCTTCTTTTTGTCAACTTGGCCGGCACGAAAAATTAAATAAATAAAATTAAGATAAGATATAAATTTTCAATAGGGTGTTTATCTTTAGATAAGCATGACTACGATACAAAGGTATCGTATATATTATATTAAAATATTCCCTCTTTTGTCTACTTCATCCGTATTTATTTTTTAGTTTAAAATTTATTATTATCTTTTACTATATATATAAAAATATAATTATATGCTTGCTTTATGTATTTCGATGATGTCTAGAGGTGAACTTTTTTATTTTATTTTTTTCAAATTTATACCCAAATTATATTCGTCTTCACATTCTCTTTTCACCTCAAATGAACTATCACATTAGTTATGTGATGGTTCAAGTTTTCTTTACCTGAACAAGTTTGTCATCTCTATACGATGTTTAGGAGAAACTGTTAGAGTTCGTACTATTTCTGGCTAAGTGCAAGCATTTATGTCCTTATAAAAGCTGTAATTTCATATTAATATTTTAAAAATTATAAATAAAGCATATATATTTTACGGAAAATATTTCAATTTTAATAGTTTTAATATTTCTCGATTTGTAATGAAAATTAATTTATCACTTTATTTAATTGAGAATTGTTTCCATTTAATATCTAAAAAGTTTATTATCTCCATGACGTTCACCTCTTGCATCGCCACCCTATTTATTATAATTATTAGTCTTATTCTATTCATGGTGATATTTATTTATTTTTAATTTTTTAGAGAAAAATAAATTATTTAAGAACCAACATGTGTTTGTATTGATTAATATAGGAATTGGAATCGATTCTACTAAAATCGAAACTATTTTTTAGTGTCTAATAAAAAAAAATAAATCTTTTTAAATAAAAAATAAATATCGTGTATTTTGAAGCAATCCAAGACGAAAGATCCTAAAAATTATCAATAATTAATAATTTTAAATTTAAATTGATTTTGTTGTGTGAGATATAATTCATGAAGTAAAAATAACGTAAGCTACTACACTTCCTTAGCCATTACAACATCGAAAGTTTTAAATCAAAAGTCACTAATGTCATTTTTATTTAACGTTCCCCAAACACGTTTCCATCCTGGTGGTTGATTTTCCTTCATTGGACTTAAGTTGCGATCTTGTAATTCTTTCTGCCAGCTCGTGTTTTCATCTTTCCATCATTGTTCTATTGGAAATGGATGAATAATTAAACAGATCAGATTGTGAGTAAAAGAAGCAAAATAGTGGTCATCGTGTGCTTAATCCCCAATCAAAGTTTTACAATGATCGCTCTTCATAAAGAATAATATCATTAATTCAAACAACCGGGATTCTGAGGCAGGACACAGTAACTGTGAGTATTTTCGTTGTAGAGGTTGGAATCGGTTAATTTTTAACCGGTTAATTAACCGGTTAAAACGGTTAACATGTTAACCGGTTAAAGATTTTTTTTAACCGGTTAAAATAGATGAATTTAAATCCCGGCCGAAATTAAATTTCCGGCCAGAATTAAGATTTTTATGATTGTCAAATTATTGTCTAACTCTGGCCAAATTTATAGTACTGGCCAAAGTTAATTTTAACCGGTTAAAGAATTTTCGGCCGGTTCCAACCTCTATTTTGTTGTCATTGTTGTTATTAAATAAATGTATCTAAACACATCATACTCAGCTCATTATGTAGAACAACAAAATACTGAAAGCTAACTTTTACTTCGACTGTTAATGAATGTTACGTAGCCAGATCCCTTCTTCAGAATCAGTAGACCCATAGCACAATCCACTCAATAAACTTAAACTGCTAACCTGGCAATAGAGTACGTCGTCGAAAGATAAAAAATAAATTCATATTTTTTTATACTTTAGAAATTGAAAAAGACAAGAAATCCAAGTCATACCTATTTATCACGAAAATATTTTAAGAAAAAAATTAACTTATTAGCAATTTATCACTAACTTTGATATATATTTTTCATCTGTTGTAAAAATTTTTTGTGAAAAAGTAACAATTAAATCTCACATAAGCTTTTAAATATCCATAAAAATTATGACGTATTATCTAATATCCCTGAAAGTTACCTAACTACAGATCAGCAAACCTGATGAAATTACTTATTAATCCCTTTTACAATATATAACTAGGATTTGATTTTCACTGCGGGTGCCTACGTCACCCACCCGTTTTATTTTGTGTTTTATAGGTAATTTAGTTTCTGATACTTTTTTTAGTCTAAAGTATTTTTTTTTTTGATTCTTTCATCAAATAAATCGCCCTAGAGAAAAAATCGCCTATAGAAAAGGAAAAAAATAAATAAAAAGTAATAAAAATAACAAAAAAAAGGAATTAGTAATTAGTAATCCCAAACAATGCAAAAAAAACTGTCAATTACAGCCGTGACAGACCGATCGGTCCATCACGGAAAAGGTGAGTTTGTTGGTTTTTCTTTCTTTCTTTCTTCTTTTTATTTGCATTGTGTCAGATTACTAACCTTTATTATTATTTTTTTATTTCTTATTTTTTTGTTTTATCTAGGGCGAATTGTTAGTCCAATATGAATGCCGTGACGGACTGATCGAACTGAACGAAATCAAAGGTGAGTTTGGTTTTCTTTTTATTTTTTTCAGTCTCTTTTTTTTGCATTACTAATTACTAATCTTTATTTTTTCTTTTCTCTATCTCTTATTCGTTTTTATCTACGGCATTTTTTTAGTCCAATCTGGATGATTTCAAACGGTTCGATCAGTCCGTCGCAGCAAAAGAGTTTTATTTTTTTTTTGAATAATTATATTATCTATTTTTATTCATAATATTAAAACTCTATATATCTTTTGTTTTTTTAAAATCAATTTACAAATATTTTTTATTTAGCTTGGTTTAGGAGAGCTAAATCGGTCCGTCACGATGAAGGTGAGTGATTATCTTTTTTTTTTGTTATTTTTTTTGTATTGATTGGGATTACTAATTCCGTTTTTTTATTTTTTTTCCATTCTCTAGGGTGATTTCTTTTTTTAGATTCAGATCGGGTGGTTCGTCATGACGATTCAGGTGAATGACGATTCTATCTTTTTTTTTTTTTTGTTATTATTTTTGTTTTATTATTTTTTCCTTAGTATTGTTTTCATTCTTTTCTTTTTTTTTTCCTCTATCTTTCATGCTATCAGTTCAGAGGGGATTTTTTATGTAGTTTATTTCTTTTATTAATATTTTAAATGGATTGGTTCAGTGCGATCGGTCCATTGCGGCAAAGGTAAGTGACCAGATTTTTATTTTATTTTATTTTATTTTTTTTTCTTTTACTTTCTACTTTTTTTTGTTATTTTTTTTTGTCTTTTTTTTTTTTTGTTTATTTTTTTTTTACGTTGTTTTAATACTTTTATTAATAATTTTTTTTTTTAGCTTTTGATCAGTTCCGTGCGATGGGTCCGTCACGGCAAAGGTAAGTGACCGGATTTTTTTATTTCTTTTTTTTTCCTTCTATTTTCTACATTGTTTTAATTAACAATACTTTTTTTCCTTCTATTTTTTACATTATTTAATTAATAATTAGAGTTTTGAACGAGCCGAGTT